CTCTACCCTCCTCCCCCCCCACCCCCAATGAATCTTGCCGCTGCCATATATACTCTTTAGCATAGGCGTAGACTCTAAGGGGGGGGGGGGGGGGGGGCAACGGGGCTCGTGCCCCCTGGTAAAATCCGGGGGGGGGGGGGGGGGGGCAGAGCTTCCCTCTCCCGGGCCTGGGCCATGATCCTTACCGAGACGCTGTATACGTGCCATGTAACGAGCTTCTAGTAGCGGCATGTAAACAAAATAACGCGCACGTAGCCTTTATTGACAAAATACATGGGAAATGGAATTCCAGCGTGTTTTCGTTAGCTTCAATCTCCAGTTCTGGGAAAAAAATAACGCGCAGCACCCCCCCCCCCCCCCCCCCCTCCCCGGGAAAATGGAAAGTCTACGCCGCTGCTCTTTAGACTTCTCGTCGCGTGACCACCAATTCGTGATAAAATGTTAAGATGACAAAAACTATAGTCAGTCGCAGGTTAACAGATGATGTGAAGCTACACCCACCCACTTTAGCAGAGCGAGCACTGGAGAGTAGGCAACCTTCTCTCAAGCATTTGCTCTGCTAAAGTGGAAACAAGAGGAGGTGCTTCCCTTGAAGTCTTACCCTGTCACCAACTAGAGACTGGTGGTGCGAGTGGGTTTGAGGCGCTCTATAATATTGTCACGATTGAATGGGACGAGAGGACGAACAGTGAACTGAAAATAAAGGTTTAATCGACGAACTTTTCCCAAACAAAAGAAAGAACAAGTGTCGAGGCAACAGAAAAGCGGGCGGCGAATTGGCGGCGTAACAGCAAGCGAGAGCGAGACTGACTCGACAAGGTCCCGCGCAGCTCCTTATCTAGGGTGCGTGACTATCTAAAAAATTTGGCGAAGAGCCTTCGAGCGTCGTGCGCTTGCGCTTGGGGTGAGAATGAAAAGGCACTGTTGAGAGCAAGAAAGCAGGACGAAATGATAAAAGTCCTGCCCTGAGCAAAAACAAACACGAATTCATTAGAATTCTGTGGCTGAGCGTTGCTTGTTTACCCCGCCGCACGGCAATATTCAGATGACCGACGACAATTTCGAAAATTGTGCGTGCAAGTATGTCATGAAAATATATTTCGCGCAAGATTACTTTTAATGTACCTGTACTTGTAAGATAGAATCAATCGTATGTCTCGCCACAGCGGTAATCGGAGTTTTATACTCGTCGAAAAATTAATAGCAACTTCACCATAAAATCTTTGTCTCATCGTTTGAGCGTTGTAATGTTTTAACCAGGGTTGTCAATGTTACTTCAGAAATATACCTAAGATACAGTACAATTACTCGTGCAAAAAGTGCCTGAGCTAAGTATCTGGATACTCATTGAAGAATCTACATAGTAAAATAAACATACTTAAAAAAATATTCTACATTTTTATAAAAATGGCAAATAGGGGTAAACGGTACGAAGACATTGACCAACAAAAATGTCATTCGGAACGTTGATGGCGAACCCCCGAGATGGGCAAGTTGGAGTTGCGGAGATAAAAATATATTTCGTCGGTTTTACACGTAATAAAAAATAAACAAGTGATTCATAATCAAATTAACCAAAATCAAAACCGGTTTAAAAGAGTCGTCGTGAAATGTGCAAATATGCTTACGACATATATATATATATATATATATATATATATATATATATATATATATATATATATATATATATATATATATATATATATATATATTGTTACGAAGATGTGCGGCCGGCAGCAAATGACAATGATGCGTCCACTCAATGAGACAGAAAGGATTTTATGGAAGCCGGGCCGTGCGCGCCGAGCGTGGCGCGTGGTGGTCAGGCACGCCACTGCCCCAGTATCGCCGTCTTCTTCGTCACAATATAGATGAAGAGAGAAAGAGAACACGGTCGGTTTAAAGGCCAAAGTCGCAGTTGGAGGAATTAAGGTTAAACGAAAATGGGGAAAGCAGAAAGCATGGTGTATTTTTGAAAAATCGCCACCCGACGTGGCAAGCGACGTCAACGCGTGTCCATCTCACACCAATTCAACGAAAAGAAACATATTCTTAAAAATGCTGTTCTTCAATGGACCCTCCTGTTTTTTAATGGATTGAATCATTCCTTACTCATCGCTCTCAATTCGTTTTCGCGAACAGCAGGTCCTCCTCTTTCGTCCGTTTCTTCCGGTGTTCCACAGGGAACTGTGCTTGGCCCCTTACTCTTTTTAATCTACATTAATGATCTCCCTCTTCACCTCTCGTCCTCTGTTCGTCTTTTCGCTGATGACTGCGTTGTTTATAGACTAATAAAAGACCCAAACGACCATATTGCACTCCAGAACGACATTAACAAAATTGCTGAATGGTGCCGCACATGGCCAATGTCTCTCAATATTAACAAATGCATGCACCTCTGCTTCACACGTTCCTCCTCCCAGCCCTTAAACTCTTTAACACTCAACGGCATTACTCTTCAGACTGCTGCACAGTACAAGTATATTAGCGTCCATCTAACCACTAATATGTCCTGGAATGTTCATGTAGACAAGACAAGATCCTCTGCAAAGCGTTCACTTAGCTATATCGTCGCAATTTCAAGTCTGCTCCTTCTAACCTCAAACGTCTTCTTTACGTCACGCTTGTTCGCCCTAAACTAGAGTATGCTTCAGCTATCTGGCGCCCCCTTCAGACTTTTCTAACCAACGCAATCGAATCTGTTCAAAATCGTGCTGCTCGATTTATTCTTTCTGATTACTCTCGCTTTTCTAGTGCCACTGCAATTAAATCTCAATTAACTCTTCATGACCTTTCCGTTCGACGCAGAATTTCCCGTCTTTGCTTCTTCATAAAGTGTACTATTCTGACCCATTACGACAGTCTCTCCTCAGCCCGCCCAGCTACATTTCTGCAAGAGTGGATCATTAATGCAAGATCGCCCGTTCCAAGACCACTTCAGCAGCCCATCAACATTCGCTCATACCAGAAGCTATTGTGGACTGGAATGGCCTTCCCGATGACATCGTCACCATCACCGATAACGCGAAATTTAGAACTGTACTGACCAACCATGCACTCCCCTCTATGATGTCCCTTGGGGTCTTGAAAGTAATTTTAAATAAAAATTAAAAAAATATATCTTTCCTGCTAAAAATTACGAGAGATGCCGCCTTCACGTCCAAATATATCTTCCCAAATTATGAAAAAAAATATTCGGTATAAGGTCCTGTTCCTTACTAAACTTACGTGTATAAGCACGTAAGTTCGAAACAATGATTTCATTGGTGCGTCAGCACCAGGAATAAAGAAAACCGCAGTAACTCAGGGACCTTTGGCAGCATGATATATTTTCTCATTTCGCTGCTCTATTCGCACTGAAGGCTGTGAACGTGCCATTGAGGTGGTGATGCGTTATCATGCCCAAAAGCAAGTAGTGCGAAAGCAACGTGCACTACTTTTTATTTCTATCTGTAACGTGTTACTTTTATTTTGGTATTATCACGAGTGACAATTGATGACGCGATAACAACTGAAGAAACTAAACGTTTAATGGGGCGAACCTGTGCCCAAAACAAAAGGAAGCAGAAGATAACAGTAGAGCGTCGCGGGCGTCGATGGCGGCGCAACAGCAGAGTCGAACGCTGGGGCGAGACTGACTCCGGCTTTCCACGCGGAGCCCCTTTTGTAAACGCGTGGGCTTCTGGAACAATCAGAGTAGAAGTTTCAGCGTGTAGAACTTTCTAACTTCGAAAGAGAGCGCGGTAACCGTTAGGCAACGGCCGCGCTGCCTACTTGGCCAGCTGCGCGCGCGGCAATATTACGTAGGGGCGGTAACACATCACTTTTATTTGCAAATGACGTAGTTTTAATTCGCCACTTTACTGTAGCGCCTACAATGCAGTGCGCAGTCGAAGATCGCATGCTGCCTCATACTGTCAAAATATAGGTGTTCATTCTGAGGGCACTGCAAGCAAATCAGACAACCTGAATTTATTAACTGAATGTAATGGCACAATGAATACAGTGAATATTAAGCACGAAAAAAAAAAAAACGAGACTGCGGGTAAAACAACATATACAAGAAAAGCTGAATTTATATCGAAGTTTGTTATCTCTGAAATAATGTGCCTTTCGGCCCCATCTGAGAGCGTCAATACATCCCAGTTCTAACTTTCTATATTTGGCAAAGTGAACAAAAAGTACCTGCAACAACTAACTTCACCAAGTTGCCAGTTACTGGAAAATGTACCTAAGGTAAACGTACAGATACAAAAATAAAAGTACCCAGATTTGTGCTTTAGGTACAACATAAGTACCTAGTTACTGATTTGCGGTTACTTGTAGCTAGGTGCTGTACAACCTTGATCATAACTTACATAGGAATTGTATACTCGCCGTGTGCAGTCCTATGAGGTAGCGAGGATAAGTGCATCTGTGAGCTTCAGCCTAGCGACTGTAGCGTAAGCGCTATTACTTCTAGTGGTGAAGCGCCTCTAAAATTTGTTAGAACTTTGCAGTAGATCACAATTGACAACTGTGTTTTTTTTGTGTTTGCTTTTTCAAGTAAGATGCTGGCGCTAACTTTAGGATCCGTTTTTTTCTTTTTCCAGCGTCCAAACAATGGTTTTAGCGGCATCATAGTTGTGATATATCGGTGTTTTAATTTTGTATTAGTTTGGGGCTTAAGTAATTCGATAAACAACCGTACAACATGATAACCATCTGATATTTTTTCCAACTAAAATGAACTTCTTAAAACGAGGGTATTTTATCGACCAACATACCTTTGTTACTAAATTTTACATATTTACATCAGCTTATTGAACTCGTCAAAAGCTTTGTACTGACACGTAAATATTTTTTACGAGCGAAAGTTAACCTCGCGCGTGTTACATCAATAGCAGGATTGTGTCTTTACAGAAGATATTTTTTTTCTTTCAGGTCAAAGCTCCTGGCGTTGCCAACGAGAAAAAAAAAAAATATATATATAACATTTACATATCCCAAGTACGGTTATGTATAAAATATCCCTTATTATTTTATTAACTTCGCCTCTCGTTTTTAATGGTAACTACTGTTTCATTTCATTTTATTTATTATACCTTAAAGGCCCCGATGGGGCATTACATAAGGGGGTAATTCATAGCAAATTCACACACTAAATTAGGCTTATAAAAAAGTGCAACCACCATTTCTCGTTGCTTTTATTTATTTTAATATTCTACTATTCGCTTTTCAATTAAACTCTACTGCTGTACGACCCTGCTTTTTGCAGTTACTTGTGAGAAAGTCTAGTCGTATGGATGTTTCTGCTCAAGGGGACAACCACAAGTGATTTTAGGCATACAGCTGCGTGTATACCTTCGACCCGACATCACGATATCAAGTGTTGAATCTTAGTCTCACTGTTTCTGCAATGAGCGGAACCAAGCACGATTTAACTTGACCTGGTGCACAAGACGCGCTGCGCTGGCGAAATTTAAAAGCCGTGGAAACATGGCCAGACATTTGTGACAGGCATTTCTAGTTCACGTATCTGGACCGATGTGTGGCGCGTTCAACTTATTTTATGCCGTGTGAAATTTGCCGCCAAAGCGAAATGTGTACCGAGTGAAAAAACAAAACAAAAAAAGCAGTGACTCCAATGATAAAAAAAATAATGAGATAATGAGTGTCTTGCGGTGTCAACATACTGATAACTTTATCCTTCTCACTTACCATTTTATGGCGATGCTACGATCAAAGGAAGAACCTCGGAACTTCAAAACAATTTTGCAGAAATCATCGCACACCTTTCTGTAGTTATTATAGTTGACTTGGAGTGCGATATATCTAAGTACCTTCAGATATAACTGTGTTGGCAGCGAGTATAAGCATAAAATATATGCTATTATTAGCGGTTGATTCTGTACAAGACGTATCTAGGGTAAATTGTCAGCTTATGTATTCCAGGCTCACACCGTAAAATTCCGAGCCAGCGATCCCCCTCGCACGCAAGTCAAAATTACCGTCAAAATGGGGGGGGGGGCGGGGGGGGGGGGGGGAGGGGCGTTATCCCAGAATGGCACCAAAATTCAAGATGGCGACGACAAAATTTTACCGCCAAAAAAAAAGAAAAAACGCGCAATGCCCATGGATTTAAAATGTTAGTTATCTTTGGGAACATTTTCTTTATTAGGCCAGGGAGTTCGCGACGGACCGAAAGGCACTTGCTGCCTCCGAAGATTGCTCTGGCGTCTTCTGCCTCTCATTTGTGGAGCGGCGCATTGCAACGCCGAACCGCTGCTTCCACCTATTTATGTTATGCCTGGAAGCTACAAAGTTTCCCAAGGCATGCCATTGGCTATTTTGACAGCCTGTTCAGAAAGAAGCCAGTTGCTAACTGCTCGTCCTGCACTTTTGCGCTCCAGGAGTTAAAAGGGCGCGTCGTCCGCGGATTCACTGAAAACCGACGTGCCGTTATTTAGCTTTCGTCGAAGTTGGGCTTTCCCGTAGTTTTGCTGTAGCAAATGGTCAAACTTCTTGTCCCATTCCCGTATCCGTTTCCGGTCGAGCTTGAAGTGTCGAGACGTCTGGTGTGTACGTTTTTCACGATGCCATTGGACGACCTTGAGTTTGGACACTGTGTATAAATGCATAAGCATGGTCGACCTGACACCGCCAAAACGAAGTGATAATGGCACGCGGCGACCGGGCTGATCGGGCTGCAAAGTAGGATTGGATTGGATTCTTGGACTGGATTTGGCAGACCAGTGTTGCCCTGGCGTTGTGCATAAGGGTGCGGAGCGGGGAGGGGGGGGGGGGGGGGGCTTTTTTTTTTTCGAACGGCGCGGAAATATAAAATTAGCAGTAAGTTGAAAGGGGGGGGGGGGGGGGGGGGTTCTTGCTTGGGTGAGGGCGCTCGCTCGGAAGTTTACGGTAATATTTTACGCGTTGATTTACGTTCACTTTCCGCCTGGCGTAATGTTGCCACCAATAAAAAAAGCAAATGTTCATAGAACAAAAAAATTAATAAGGTGAACTTGCACTTTCAAACCTAAAGAGAAAGACGAAACGCATCTTGCGTCGGTGACGCAAGGTGACTGACTTGAGGAGGGGAGTTACCGCTACTTTCATATACGCGGCATGTTCAGGAATATTCTGAACAAGAACATTCAATGACGGCCGTGAGTGGGCAGGGGTTATTAGAACATGATGAAAAAGTAGCCCACAAAAAGACCGAGAACATGGAAAGGAACCAAACACAGAGGAGAGACAAACGCTATTTTTTCTTCATGTTCAACTTGTACCAACTCGCTCAGCTTGTCACCTTTACTACACTTGATTTCTTAGAAGAGTACAGAGTTAATAAAAAATAGGATCTGGGACGACTATAATCCGAAAACGATCGCACTGCGTGACAGCCGCATACGTTGCCAACTCCGCCACGCAAGCGGCTTTTTTTTTTCTTCTTTTTTCTCGGATTTGGACGATGACACAAGCCAGTGACACATAATCGCGACGAAACACTAAAAGACACCAGCCATCTTGGCTAGTGGCGAGCATGCTACGAGTCTTCGGGGGTAGACAAGACCTTCAAAAGTGGCAGCCACTTAGGTGTAGGTTGCCGGTCCTTATCGAATTTCTTAAGAAAGCCGACGTGTTCAACAAAATACTTATGCACGGGGCGAATATTGATATCTCCGTGGCGCGCAGCCATACGGCATGCCATATGCTGTGCAGGCCGAACAGTAGGATCATGTCGTAAGGCAAGTCATTTTTCCATTCTACCGCTCAAAAATGTTTGCCATGGGGCGTTAATCGGAAGTCGTTTCTGAGGGTCCCATGCACTACGTCCCAAAAGAAGTCCGTGTCCCAACAGTCTAGGAAAACGGGATCAACCGTTTTACAGCGGAGCTGTTAACGGCTATAGGTTCCCCAGGATCGTGTCCGGTACCAAACAAATGTCGACACTCGTGGCCGACACAACACTCTGGTTGCCGCCGCCGCTCATAGATGGCTGTAGCTGTCCAGAGTGTTGTGTTTGCCGGTTGTCTGCTTGCCGTCGTTTCTCATAGATGGCGGCAACCTTTCTTCGGTGGTAGAAGAGCGGGAGCGGAACGAACGGCGATGTGCGCAGCAGCGCGAATGGTTTAGCAACCGCCGTGAGTCCGCTTTCGCCTAAAGTTACACTGCCGTCGAGAGCTTCAGATTCCCTTGCAAAAGAGGAGCAGATCGCTCGCCTGGAAAGCCACCGTCGAGAACAGAAGCTACAGCTCCGCTGCTCTTCATTCTTCACCAGAGTGGAAAGGCTGAAAGTTTTTCTGCTTTCTGCACAGTATGCAGTTGTCAGATCAAGTTACTGGGATACCTTTTTTAACTAACCAGGCTTTGACTGGAACTTTTTTGACTGTGCAACTTGAAAAAAAAAAAAAAAAAGTATTGGCGATAGGGGGTACCATCATTCGCTTGACTCACTTTAATATATCCTGCTTTGGTACTGCACTAAAAAAAGGATACAGAAGAATTGAAAAAAAAAATGAATTAAATCCTTCGTTAGGTGCTTGTTCGATACACAAGACAAGTATCTGAGTGAGAAACGCATGACTAAAAGTCATTAAGCCCCAACAACATATTCTATATACCCGCGTACACTGGCACCTACGTCCTCGCTTTACAAAATAATAAACGCAGGAAGGAGAAAAATAATTCTATTGACAGGTTGCACCAGAAAACATTAAGAGCCGCCCCCTTAAAGAAGAAAAATGTTAAGAATTTTAGGTTGGATTTGAACCCCCGATCCTTCGGTCGCGAGCCAGATCAACACCACCTAGAATAGTGAAAGCCTTCGAATGGCCTCCTCTTCGTCTATGAAACGTCATCAGAGTCGGATGGTGCTAACTCGGCTATTGGGCCCGAGTCCGACCTTCGACCCCCTTATTGGACGCAAGCCCCGGCCGAACACTGACGTAGCACTCGTGCCCAATCTCAGGTTTCGATCGATCTGATTGTGACGACGGTGCGAAGGCCTTCTGCTTGTCTGAGTGGTGTTGGCCAGACACGCTACTTAGTGGGCCACGCAAGGCACTTTATTAATATTACCTTGGTAACATGATGAATGAGTACAAAAGAAATGCACACTGGGCCAACAAGGACACGTGAGGTTAAAATGCTCCCCGCCAGTCTTTTGGCGGGGAGCCGTAATGATAGAGGTCAAAAGGCTCGTAAGGCTGCCAAGTCGGCCAAAACAGGCAATTGCAAAATATCACTGTTTAGCTTAGGGTAGCATTCCTTGAGGCGTTTTATACAATCTATAAAGTGGTCAAGAACAGAACAGGCACCAACTTCGGCATGACGCACCGCCAGGTGCGTCATGCATATACTATGAAGACCACTGAATAAGCTACGCTTCAGAGTAACGACCTTACTCATCTTGGACCTTCAAATCGTAGTTGCCAGTTATCTGAAGCTTTATCTGAAATCACAGGAAACGCTTTTCCGCTCTCCACAAATGTTCAAACAGCTCGCAACAGAGCAAAGCAATATTACATGAGCTTCCTAACACCGAATCTAATGCTGAGGAAGTCTCACTTTTGAATCTTGACGATCGGCAGCTGAGTCTGCTCTGCATACGAACCAAAATGGCGGCGCGCACAACAATGTCAAGGAACGAAGTGCCGATATTCTAAGCGCAACTTGTTTAATGGCCCTCGTCCAGAGTTTTCACAGCCTGCCTAGGGACAATTTGGACAGCATTGATTCTAGCGCGGCGTGGGGATGTAGGGACACGCGGGCGCGACGACATCAGTGCAGCCGTTCAATCGGCCTGCCCCACGGTGTTGCTCGCGCGCGCTCTGATGAAGCTCGCCACGATTTCGTGTTTCGCAAATTTGATAGAGTTTGTGCACCGTGAGAGCTTCGATTATTGAAGTCTAGTCCCGCGTGACGCCACCGTCGCGAGAGTTCAATCAACGAGCTCCGCGAACTTCGGCCTCAACTTCGTGCTTTACGAGTTTAGCGACTTTTTTTTAGCAGTTAGTCTTGGCCATTTCTACTTCCCGCTGTAGAACTGAACCAACGCCGATATATTCCAAAATGAAAAAAAAAAAAAAGAATTTCATGGGACACACGATCAAAGGTATTTTCCATGTCTAGGTGAATCATTGCTGTTTTCCGATATTCCGAGCCACAAACTTGCAGTACACTTGTAGCGGTGTGTGTATGTGTGCATACACTGCGTCCTTTAATTCCGGATGTCTGATGTGGGCCTACAATTTTCCTTATCGCGCTTTGCAGCCCCCTAGCCAGCACTTTCATTAGTATTTTATAACCTACGTTTGCTAGTGGCCTATAGTTGCTAGTTCTTCTCCACATATTATTTATTTCGTGTCGTTCTTAGAGATCAGACGGATTAGCTAACCAATCTTGCATGTTGAAATTACATCAAGTTATAAAGCTCACTATTTGCTAGCTACAGTGATTCAATATCAAATCAATCTACCTAAATCAAATAAATCCGATTCGAATACAAAAATGGTTTACTTGATTGCATCTTAAATCGTGACATTTTCTCACCTTGGTGGGGACAATACCATAAGTGGGGCAGTATTTTGTTGCCGAAAGCAGCCGCATTCGTCACCGTCTGCTTCGCTGAAAAAACTGGTGTGTTGTGTCGGAGCAAACGCACTCTCTTGGTTAGCTTCCCGCGGAGCGTGATGGCCTCCCGCAACCTCGGCAGCAGGCCTTAGTATGGCCATTTCGTACTCGAAAATGTTAAAATACCAGAGTTTGAGAAATTTTGTTGTGGTTCTAAAATACAACCTTCAATTTCGATGTGTTCCAGGTCTGTTCTGCCACACTTGCCTCGCATAAGTCCTCCCCCCCCCCCTCCCCCCCATCTCCATCTCCATTCCTTCTTCTCATGTGGCCCAATTCTCCTGTTATAATTTTTATTTTCGCCTTGTCCTGAAAATTTTAAAACTTGTTATACAGTTGTTGTTGAAAAAAAAAAAAAAGAATTCAAGATTCTCCAAAAATAATTTTTCCATGTTCTCTATTTTTACAGTTCCAGTTTCAAAAGCTCAAACATTCAGCCCTCAGACAATACGGACACTGTTGTTATTCTGGTCTAATTCACATTTGCGTAGTGATTTAGAAAACTTATGCAAGAGCGGCGGAGCACAGAGTGTGGTGCGTACCGAGGGGATGCTGAATAGCGCTAAATGTTCTACTAAACATTTAGCAGATTCGTAACATCCGGTATAATTTAACCTGTCTGACTCTCACACTTCGTTCTCAGAAATCTGTTGACTTCAAAAACTGCAGGATGGAGTGCTGGGCAAATTTTGGAAACTCGCGCGCAGCACAGACACATAAGCTTCCCACTGGTACACCCTGTGGGCTCAATAAAGAAGTAAGTGTATGCAGCGGCTACACCATTTTCATAACCACAAAACAAGTTTATAAAAACACTAACAAGAACGTGCCTTACTGAACTCTCTCTGCATATAGCAGTCTGAACGTCATTAAAACGTTATATATCACACTGCTTTTTTTCTTCTTTTTCCTTGCTTTGTGTTGATGCATGAGGCCCATTTTAGTTGCATCAGGAAAACATCATGATGTGGCGGTTCAACAGAACTGCCCGTATTGTTTTCGAGTGACGCAGTATAACAAGAGAACCATGATGTCCTTACTTAAAAACCCCAGGAGAAAAAATCTTTTTAAGAGTCTGGAAGGGACACGCGTGTCGAAAAATCAGTTTTAAACGAAAAAAAAAAAAAACTTTTTACAGGAATTCTGACGGCGATAGATTTTTTTTTTGTTCTGCCCACAAAGTCTATGACGTCACGGAACGGTCATTCCCTCTTTCGACCTCGACGTGAAGACGAGACCGATCCACCTCTCCTCCACATGCCCCAAATGCCGAGAGAGAAAACAAATGGAAAGGAAGTGACTACCGACTAAACTGCGTCTTGCGCTGTCAATATTGCACTAAAGTTTTGGCACGCATGTCCCAACCAAACTTTAAAAATGTCGAATAACCACATGTATCTGGCCTTACCAGATATCAGTTTATCAAGAGGTAACTTTCCGCTGGTTGGTTGTGTTTTTTCACAATAAGATGATAAAGGGTGCGCGTCTGCGGAACGAAATATGTGACGTTGGAGTCGTTGAAGAGCATTAGTCGTCAGTTAGAGCTTGTCCTGTGCGTGCCTATTTCTCCGACTTAGTCCAATCCTCCTTGTAGATATTAAGTTTTTTGTTAAATTAATGTGTAACCTTTGTTTTTCAGAAATGTCAGCATGATGGGTGCTGGCGCCCGAGGGGAACGAGATAAAATATCCCTAACATCTCTGACAACCGAAGAAATTATAAATAAATAATTTCAATACTTCGACCATAACTTCTTCGTGCTACCAAAGCAATTATTAAAATATCGGAGTTTAGTGTCGTAGTAACAACTTTACCTGTTAAGCCACTCTGCGACGACCAATACTAAGCTCAGGTGGCACTAATTTCATGCATGTACCTACGGGAGCAAGCTCACTATTTTTCGTTTCATTTTAAGGCAAAACCGCAGCCGACCTCAATTCGATGCAGACGATCAGGCAGTGCCAAAATTGCTTCGTCACGGCGCCGCCCAGTTTCTTTGGGAAGGGGGGGGGGCACCCTTAAAAATCACGCGCAAAAAAAAAAAAAAAATTGCAGGCTCACGGCGCATTTCCTGTGCGTGATTCGTTTAGTCGGTTATTATCAAACGCACACAGGCTATGAGCACGGTGACAAGGCACTATTGGAGTTGCTCGACTGTCTCCGGCGGATGGCAGCGTCTGCCGCGGTTTTGGCGTAAAATGAAACGGAGAAATATTAATATAGGAATTGCTGGGCTTTGCGTCGCAGCGTCCACTGCCCGACGCATGACTAACATTAAGAGGCATTCCGGTGCAGCATAGTTGCGAGGCCCTACTTCGTGGTGGCTAAATGCTAATGGTGTTACAATCACCTCATAACATAGATATCCTACAACCATGAATGCGTTAAGTTCATTGCGGTGGTGTTAGACGAATGGCAATTTTACATGGGCTAACAATGTGGTCGAGAAGAAAAGTCTCTGAGGTATTAAAATATATACTTAAGGAAACAAAACGCTTTTTTTTTGTGTACGCTTTCCAGTACTAAATACTAAGTCAAGAATTAAAGAAAAGTGGGAATGAAAAAACTGAAATAAACGTCTAATAAGGAAAACTGAGCCTTCAACTAAACAAAAAGGTAGCGCACATAATTTGGCGGCGACGGAAGGGCGATCGACTCAAGTCAGCGCGCTTCCATTGCTTTTATGCACGCGCTATGTTCAGGTAGATTCTTCGCCAGCTCGGATGATCACAGCCGAAAAAGAACTAACTTTCCAAAAAAGTGCATCTTGGTGAAAATTCTTACAAGCACCGCGCCACATCTTCCGATCGCACACAGTGCTCCGGCTGTGACATATATCACGCTCGCCCACTGCGCAGGCGCAGCCAACTCCGTCGGCTTCACGGCGTCCGCGACGATGCATCTGCGTTGCTGTGCTTTTCTTTCTGTGTTTCTTTTTTTTTTTCGAGAATCGTCCGCTTTGACCTTGAGCGCCCCGCCGACTTCCGCGACGAAGCATCTGATACGACGCGTCGCAGCCATTGGGAACGCGTCCCAGTCATTTTAACTGCCGTTCATTTAGATGTCTGTTTTTCGCGGTCACAGCCTTTGGTAAACACGTCTCAGTGATTCTCTTTAGATGACTCGTAGATTTGCTTACGCATTCCGCCGATTTCGGACACGGCAAAAGGTGATGTGACATGCGAGAACGCGTCAATCGAGGCAGAAATGGGTCTCTTGATTCACACACAAGCTTTCCCGAATACCCGCACGGTTTACCGAAGCAATCTGCCGTTCCTCTTACGTCTCCCAGAAGTAGCAGACGAGATTAGACGATGCTGACGGCCATGACGCTGTACCTGTATTACTTAGACGAATCTGAGACAAGCCAAAGGCCTTCGATCTTCTCTGTGATTTCGTACGACGGGCATTTATAGCCATTCGTCGGGCAAATCGTGACCTGCAAAAATAAGATGGATTTACTTGTTCAAAACTGGCCGCTGGCTGAATTCGCAGCCGTAGTGAGTACGGTGCCCGAAACGAGACTGCAACTGGTGTGTCTACCGTCTTCTATCGCCCATGCATTAAAAGTAATTACGGGGGGGGGGGGGGGGGGGGGAGGGGGGAGGGCGCTCCTTTCGGCACGGAGATCATACTCCGTTCTGTGGCCTGACTGGCCCGGCACGCAGGAACGCTGAACACCGGGGTCGTCCCAGCTCCCATTCTAGTGCACCTTAGATCAGCTAGCAGGCCACAGCTGGGATCGCTGCAATCAAGAGCATCTCACAAAAGCGTTGTAATGAAGGTGGAAATCGAGGGACCGAAAATGAGGGCACGGCTGTACAGTAAGCACGCAAGTCGAAGACGCGTTCCAGGCACAGCGCCGAACAACATACGGCCGCTTGCCACTAGATGGAAGCAGCTGCGCGCTCATGGGCAAAACTAACGCCTTTCGCTCTCGTAGCTCTCGTATGAACAAAAGGCGAGGCGACTAAGATCAAAGTCCGCTTCAGCCAACGCGGTGAGTCGAGGGAGAAGTCAATCGGACGCGCACGCTCCTACGGCTGGTAGAGCGCAGTGGACGCTGTGAGCCATCCCGGCCAGTCCAAAGCCGTGTGGTTGTCACGTGTCACGTCACGTGGCTACGCGAAACGCGTGGTCTCGTGATGCATTCACAGCGATGGATTAGCCGAGATGGCTGGTAGCATCCGCTGCGGTCCATTGTGTGGTGAAACCAACGCTGGGGAATCAGAGTGTTGCCTTCCTTCACCTCGTGACGTCACACTTTCAACTCCCACCATTTTAGAAGGCGTCGGCACCACCCCTGATCCCGCTGGTCGGCACAATCCGACAATCCCACGACGGTTCAACATGCCACTTTGCTCCACGTTTCGGGTGTCCGGCTTCGGCCGAGGTTTGGAGATGAGACCCATGAACTTCCAGAGTGCCGTTCCGGATTTCTGGGTGTGCAGTTTCTGTCGGGTGATTGCAAGCAAGGTGGTTTTACTTTCGTGTTTTCACTCCGCCTGCGAGGCCTGCTTCGCCGAGTGCCTCAGGGAGGACAAGCTCTGCCCCCTTGACCAAGTCCCCATAGAGGACGACGTGCAGCGAGTGTCATTTTCGACGAAAAAACTGGGCATGTTGAAGGTAAGTCGAACTTAGCGAAAGCTGGCGTAAGACCGCCGGAGACGCCGACGACTGTTGGGGGTGTAAACGATATGCCTCGCAGTTTTTATCGGTCATGTTAAAAATAATGAAAGAAACATTCCCGATGACTGTAAAGCCGCCGTTATACTGCTAATGCAACGTACAAAAGGCAGTCTGCACGCCTCTGAGGCATCTTTCTTCTTTGTACGAGGATGCAGTCACGCTGGTCACAGATGTTAGCTTGGCCCAGCTCGTTTGTCTATACTTGTTTGTCTTGCCTCGGCGGAATCTGTAATGGATCCTCAATACATGACTTTTGCGAGCGCACGGGGTTGCGGGCCCACCTTGTTTACGCTTCGCGAGAGCGTGAACTGAACTTCGCCCATAGCACCTGCCTGGGAAGAAGACACCGCTTGTGCCTGCGTGGGAAGAAACCGCTCGACAGAACGACCGGAGGCACGCCACGTATACGCACGCAAAAGAGACCATGTAATCAGAAGTTAATCTAGTATAATAAACGCTAGTTCATTTTCTCAAATCAATATCGCATTATTAAATAACGGAGCGTCAGCACCCGACCGCCGCTGACACAGAAAACCCGTCTGCAGACAAGTTCGAAGCATAGATATGTTTCGATGATGCGTGAAGCGTGCCCTCAGATCATTCTGAAATCATGTCTGCAGCGAATGTCTTTTGTATCATGCACACAGAATGAATCAGCAGTCTGACTGCAGCTTCAGGAGGTAGTGTACTGCACAAGAAGAATCATATCCGCCTCCGTATCTGGGGGGAGGGGGGGGGGGGGGGGGGAAGCGGGGCGGGCTTTGGTTCGTTGGCATATCGGGAGCGGATGCGATCTTCGTCATGCACAGCAAAAACGTCGTGTTCAGTGCGGGCCACCCTTATCACGACACATACTGGGAAGATACCTTTCGTGTATTTTTCAATTGCCAATTTCCCGCTCAAATTAGTGGCGTCGGAAATCTTTTAGATATTTCACTTTGTGTGTGTGAGTGGGGGGGGGGGGGGGGCGGAAGGAAGGGGGGGGGGGGGGCGGGCAGGGGGCTGTTTTGACGCCACGGCACCTACTGTATGGCTCCCATTGCTTTGCACAATTTGTAGGAAGTGGCGCGGTTGAGGGGACGCCCAGGGTTGCCAGGTTGGGCTATAAATAGCCAAATTGGGCTAGTTTTATTTGCAGTTGGCGGAAAAAAGTGGTAGTTGGCTATTTGGCTAGTATTGGGCTAATTCTGACCCGTGCTGGGCACACCAAAATGCCTCAAAGCACTTGGGTTTATAGGTTCAAACATGGTGTTTTTAGAGTAAGTTACGTAAACATTTGGCGCTTCAGTCTGTTAACCCTGATAAGTATGCGACAGCAAGAAAATTCGTCTGCTCTTTGCGCTCCTTGTGCAATTGTTTACCCCCGAATCTTTTCCGAATGCAAGCATATGCTTGTATTCCTCTATCTCAACCAGTAACGGCGCAATTCCTTGCGGCCCCAACAGCACCTGCTCTGCGCATTCTTAAGGTTGTCTGATCTTGCGAAACAGGGTGTCGATGGAAACGCTGGAGAACATTTTGTATGTCGAATTCGGAGTGCGAGGCAAAGAGCAGTGCTGCAAGGACAATGTTCCTTCAGAGGTTTTTCTGACGCGTTTTAATACCGCACTGATGTACCCGTGCTCTAACGTTGGTTCTGCGAACATATGATGCTAATGGTGGGAATATTTTAATTTGACGCATACAAATGTATTAATATGGCTTTTGCGTTTAAAATAAATATTTCAAATGGGCTTCTTTTTTTGGCTACTTTTGGGCTATATTTTTGGATCGACATTTGGCTATTTTTGGGCTATATCTAGTAGCAATTTGGCGGGTCAGAGTACAAACACCTGGCAACCCTGGGGACGCCGTGACATGGCTACCTTGACGCGCCTCCAAACGTGTTCGATGATATTGAGATAGGCTCCTTTTGGGGGCCAAGGCGGCTTCGTCGGGCAGCGCCCCTCGAGGAGATACGAGCGTGACAACGCATTTTCCACTTCGGCGCTTTCTTGAAAGGCACTGAAAAGCATGTGAGCTGGAAACGTGAACATTGGGCTGCACGGCACACGCATCGTGATGGTGGTTCCGTCGGCCAATATTTTCGCAAGCAGACGGCCGGAAAAGCGCAGCGGCGCAGTGAGTGCAAGTGAGAATTTATCTTTGCCTCAGGGTGCGCCGCGTGTGCGGAGCAAGGCGACAGGCGGCGCAGGTAGTACCGTGCGCCGGCCGGGGCGCTGCTTCAGCTCATATTGTCCGCGATAGTACACCTATTAGCATCCAAAAGTTACCACATTACTGTCGTGATTACTTTCTAACAAATTTATCCAAATGATTACAAAAATTTAAGAAACGCAGGTTACGATAAGTCGCGAGCATCTTATTATCTCCTTTTCATCCAATCACATTCCGCGTTGGCTGATGAGAACGCCTAACATAAAACCAGGAAACAAAAAGAGTGAACATAACAAACCCCGCCCTCCGTTTCTGAAGTTGTCGGTGGACTTTTACAACATGTGAAAATTCAGTTTTAACAATAAGAATAACGAGTAGCAAAAGAGAGTACGCTCTCATTTTAATGACGTAACCGTTGTCAAAAGCGTGTGCGATACTGAAGCGGTTACTCTTGACATGTCTACTTTGCTTTATCTGAACTGACGTCAATGGGTCTTGGCTCTAAAACCAAGTGGCGTGCACTGTATGGCGCGAACATTCAGTAAGCTCTTTGAGGATTTCCTGACACCATCTATTCAACAAAACAGAGATTGGAATGTGAAGCGAATCTTGCGTTGCGGAAGTTTGGTACCAGCGACGGTATACCTTGCGCCACATGTATAGGGCAGACAGACAGCAAATTTGGTAAACGATCGCAGCTTTTATTTTTTTTTATCAAAACATTAAACAAACGGTAAACTTTTTTTAAGGAAGGTTTTACACTCCTATGAACCGGAAATGTGTTTCTAGGTTGGTACAAAGCCGTATTGTTTATGGTTAATCAGAGCCGATTTACTCCAAGATGAAGATATGTTACTGTGTTCGGTTACTACATTCCTTTACCAAGATAATGGGAGCCTACGACAATAAAAAAAAACAAAAAAAAAACCTATCTATAGGAAATTTAAGGTGTCATACTCAATCTGGGACGGGGCCACCCAGAGGGTTGTTGAAAGGAGATGGGCAGAAAAAAAAAAGGGGGGGGGGGCGCTACTTGCAGTTTGTCTTTGTCTGGAGAGCAATCCTTCTACCATTCTGATCTCGACAGGAAACACTTACATTCTTCTCGTTTTTTTTTTTTTTTTGGCAAAAGGTGTCTGGTGTTTGAGCACCCGATGTCTCGAAAATATACCTTTTTCAAGATCGAAGCGACCCTAGCGGCGTAGTGCCGCGCGGTGCATCTTGGAAGCCCTTTGGTTACGCTTACAGTTTTGGTTTCAATTTCCCACCCTCAATTCACGACATGCTGTCACGACCAAATACAGCGCTTGCATTTTCAAATATGTAACTTTTCTTAAATTTAAAATGCCTACCAACATAAATAATGAACAAAAAGTGAGGGCGCAAACGAGCAGGTGTACATTGCACATGGTTGAAAAAAAACCGAGACTGCGGGTAAACGACACAACACTAAAAAGTCTCTAACACAGCTGAAATTTTTATTTTCCGAAATCTGGTTATGTAGGCACTTCGATACAAAAGAAAAAAAAGGGGAGAGGGTGAGAACCCCAAAGAGTGCCACTTTCCACCAATGTAACCTTTGACTAAATACAAGGACAACGGACTCTGCGTCATGCACCTCTCTTATCTTTTACCCCTCGCTTTTCTACCCCTTGGGTGGAAAAACGACTTAACATTTTTTCTACCCGAAAACCTACATAAACCTATTAACAGACACAAAAAAAAGTCAAAGTTTACATTGGTGGAAAGTGGCATTCTTTGGGGTTCTCACCCTCTCCCCTTTTTTTCTTTTGTTTCGAAGTGCCTATATAAGCAGATTTCGGAAAATAAAAATTTCAGCTGTGTTAGAGACGTTTTAGTGTTGTGTCGTTTTACCCGCAGTCTCGGGTTTTTTTTTCAACCATGAACATAAATAAAATGCTGTGGCACGTTTTTTCTTTTTTTGAATCCGTGTTACTCCTCTACATAGCCAAATATGTCCCATAATTCGAAGCATGCAGTGTTGCATGCAACGTTTTTTTGGAAGTAGTCTATTCGTGAAGAAAGGTAAAAAGCACATGCGAGCTGGTGAATGGTATCCATAATAACCCTGAAACGAAGGAAAAATTAAAAAAAACGGACAGTACAACGAAGTCTCTATAAGAGACTTCGTTGTACTGTTCGTTTTTTTATTTTTCCTTCGTCTGAGGGTTATTATGGATAGTCTATTCGTGACAGTTCGATTTACTTTGTACAGGTGTCCTGCTGGAATGCGCCTAACGGCTGTGACTTCTCCGGGTCCTGCATGGACGTTCTGCAGCACTTCGAGCAAGACTGCGGGTTGCGCACCACCTCGTGCCCCAGCTGCGACGCCCTAGTCCCCAGAGACGACGTTGTCGAGCACCTCAGGTCCGCATGCACTGCTCGAGTCATTCAGGTGGTGGAGGCAGCAACATCCGCCAGCATGTCTGGAAGTGACCAGCGAGCCTACCTCGAAATGAAGCAGCTGCTGGAAAAGATCAGGGACGACCACCTTCACCTGCAGTCCAGTTTCAACCGGCTTTCAGAGCAGGCGAATATCGTTAGCGCCCGGCAGCACGAAAGCTACGAGACAGGTGTGACCAGGGTTGTCGATCTGATTCACGAAGTTGAAACCGGTCTAAAAAGCGATGTCAAAACCCACATGAGCAGGGAGGTGTCGGAGCTGAACAGGAGTTTGTCCCTAGTGACAAAAAAGGTCTCCCTGTTAGTCAGTACTTATTCGAGCCATGTCTGGGTCCTTGAGGGCTGGCGGAACATGACCGATGGCGCGCATCGGGGTACCCTTGTTGAAACTGAAAGCCCTCTGCGAAGCGTACGAGGCTACTTGATGTCTCAGGTTGTAAAAATGGCGGTCGACACTTCCCGCCTCCTACGGTTCACTTCATACATCAGGATCCACTCTGGTCCATTCGATGACGATCTTGAATGGCCCTTCCATGGTATGCTCGCCTGTTATACTGTTAACCCGAAGAAGAACTGCTGTACAGCTCTAGCGTCTGTATCTATAGATGAGCGGTGTCCCAAAGAATCCTTTGGAAGGCCCGTGCATGGTCCGAATAGCCCTTATTTGATATATGAGGGGGACGCTCGAATCCTTGAGGATGGCGGCTCCGTTGTCGATGGTAAGCTTTTTCTTAAAATCACAGTTCTCTAGACTTCGCTCGCATACCTGCCTTGCGTACGCCGTAAAGGGAGTTGACGGCAACGCTGTAGCCTATGCAATCAAGAATATATCGAGGCAGGTCTTTTCCTTCTATTTATTGATTAAACACTTCCTCTCGGCGAGAAAAAAATGCAAGCATGCAACAAAAAAACAGACAGCACGACACGGAATTTCAAAATCAGCTTATAAAGCTGGAGACATTTTTCACAAAGCAATTTTATTGAAGCATACAATCCAGGTATTGAAATATTCAGCGACATTTCTGTTTACCGCGAACAATTGCAAGGGTTCGCCACATATCTGAGTTTTATTTGTTTTGTGTTAATTCGGCGTTTACTCGTTCTTTGTGCACCAAAGTGTAGACCTTCGGGTTGGTTTGGGCGCACGAAAATAAATATTTGTCTGTTTTCTTGCTCGTGATTTCTTTTTTATTAATATGTGACAACAAAGAATGTCAGCCACATCCTCCGTGTCGTAAGAGCTCGGCAAGATTTTGTGCTACATTCTATGGTGGACATTGACGCTAGTGTCTTTTGTGTGTGTGTTTGTGTTTTTTTTTATTTTAAGCGTCAGTCTCCACTTGGAACTGCTGTAAAATCTTGGTGCTAATTCTTTTTTTTATGTGTTTGTTTATAATTTAGAACTGGCTATTTTATGCAATTATATAGCTGATTTTGCCGCACAAGCCCATGATGGCTTTGGCGAACCTGCAGCCAGCCTTCAATATGCTCTTCGTTCACAAATAAATTTATTAATATTAATTTTGTTGTTATTATTATTATTAAAGTCGAGCTTTTAAGGGCTAGTTTCCCCAGGATCGTGTCCGGTACCAAACAAATGTCGACACCCGTGGCCGACACAACACACTGGGTGCCGCCGTCGCTCACAGATGGCTGAAGCTTTCCACAGTGTTGTGTTTGCCGGTTGTCTGCTTGCCGCCGTCGCTCATGATCGCGGCAACCTTTCCAGCTTCGGCAACCAGAAAACTGGTTGCTACCGTCGCTCATAGATGGCGGCAACATTTCTTCGGAGGAAGAGCGGGAACGGAACGAGCGGCGATGTGCGCAGCAGCGCGAATTGTTCCGCAACCGCCGCGAGGCTGCTATCACCCAAAGTTCCACTGCGTCGAGCGCTTCAGATTGCCTCGCGAAAGAAGGGCAGATCTTGCCTGGAAAGCCACCGCCGAGAACAGAAGCTACAACTCTGCTGCTTTTTCTTCTTCACCAGAGTGGAAAGACTAAAATTCTATTATTATGTTGGCCGTTGCGAGTCACGCGCTTGTTTAACTATGCGGGCACATTGTAGTGGAGTGCATTTTTCTTAAAACTGGGCATGTTAACGCAACTAAAACATTTGTGCAGAAATATTAGTTTTTTTTTTTATCGGATTAGCAATACCTACAATTGAAATATTCACTAATTCGCCATTTGCTTGAGAGAAGTGGAAGGGACTACAAAGTTGAAAATATTGTCTCGCCTATCATCCTTGGAACTTGAGAGCACTTGCTGCTTGAACATTGCCTAACGTATTGTATTCGAATAAAACCAGTTACGATTGGAAACTTTAGGATCCAGAAGCAATAGAAAGTAAGACAGAAATTAAAATATTTGAAAGACAGACTAACATAAATTCGCACTTAGGTATCCAAAGCAGGACTCTTGCGATTTAATTGTTTGGAGCAGGTTCAATAAATTAGGTTTAATGAATTAAGTTATAGTAATGTTTTGGCGGCTTACTTCTCCAGACATGAGAAAGAGAATTTACCCACGTCGACAGCGGTTACGTCTTTTTAATAAGACACCTCGAGCTGTTGCTATAGCGCTTCACTGGAAATGGAGAGGTCCCTGGTTCGATACCGGGACCAAGCGGATTTTTTCGGTCCCACACCAGTCACCTAGCTGTGTTTAGAGATTTGTGTTTGTCCTTTGTCCCCCTTGCACCACTTCTCCAGGGATAATTTTCGTCACCTTGAGCGTTGGCTTTTTGAAACGATAGCTATTATAGTTTAACAACTAAAAAAATTAGATAAACGGTTGGAACGATACCGGAGAGGTATCGAGAGTTAAACAACGCATGCAGGCCGCGTTATAAACGCTGATAAAAACGTGAAGCGATTGAAGAATCCTCTTACTATCGAAACTCCATCGACCAGGAACATGTGGGTGACATATGTCACTCTCTGCGAGCTTCCAGCGCAGCTACATTATTGAGAAGAGAAACAAGAATCCAAGTTGTAAGGTTAACGATGCAGATCAATTCCACCAGGTACAGGTCCACTTTTGATGTGGCCAGATATTCTAAAATAAGCAAGACCACTGCGACCAAAATATATTCGTTTTACTAGTGTGATGTTATTACAGCTTGGCTTTACTATAGTGACGGCTTAGAAACACAATAACGAGAATCATACTGTCGAATCACCGAAAAAGAAGCGAGGATATAATAAGCAACGCCTTCCCCTTCATTAAGTTGTCTGCGACCACAAATTTGTAAATCTGGCTTGGTCGACTGCAACAAGCCTGCGCCTTGCTAACGCTGCTAAGGAATCCTGTCACTCAATTACATCCTTACGTTCAATTATGGATTATCTAAAGGCACCTCGAAGTGGTTTTCGGAATTCGGCTGACTATACGGCTCATGTTTAGGTCTCCAAATGTGTGGCTTAACTTTCTCTTTTCACTCGTTTTCTTAAGAAGACAGAACATCGTTGTCGGCGATTTTATTTTTCCTTCAATCAGAATCTTCCCCGGGAATAGACCTTTTCGAGCATCGAGCGCCATCTAGGGAGTTGTCCGCAAACTATAAACGGAGGGCGTCACAACATGTTAAGAAACACGGACAGGGTATTTACGCTCGCTAAGGTTTTTATTTGTTCATAACATAGGAGAGCCCAACTACCCGGAACACAATTTGCGGCTCGAAATTCGTTTTCTTTCAGCACGAAAACGGCCGATCGAGAAGGGGCTGGTTTGAGTTGCACTCACTCTCATCTCCGTGGTCACGTGCCGTTTTTGTATGGTTTAGGCACAACCACTAAAAAAAAATGAAAATCGTGGGTCACCGAAGGCACGCGCTCAATATTAAAAATACAAAAAAAATATGATACCCAATTTTTTGTGGCTCCTAAATAGCTGAAATACGTTGATTGAAACAAAGAAAAAAAAAGTTGCACAGCCACGCGTCTTTCGGCACTCTCTCAACCTCTATATTTCTTCCTTCCAAGCCCGATTTCGGCTACGGTTTCGAGCAGTTGCGTTATTTTAGAGCGCAGCTCTCAGGCGCCTGTTCCCGGCTTGAGCGTCGTCGCCGTCGGCGTAACCGTAACGCGTCAGCGTAACGCTTTTTGGTGACGCGTCGGCGTAGCCGTAACGCGTCAGCGCGACGCGTCGCCGTCGGCGTAACCACGCGGTGCATAATGGGGAACCGCAGTAACGCGCGCGTTGCATTGTGGAACGTTTCCCATAATTTGCCGCGCGGGAGAGAGGGGGAGGAGGGGAGGAGGGAGGAGGAAGAGAAGAGGGGGAGGACGCGAGGAGCAGGGGAGGAGTAGATGAGGAAGGAGGAGAGGCATACCCTCCCCTCCGTACCATCCCCTCCTCCTCCTCAAGAGTTGCGCTCTAATTCGGTGTTACAGGGAATTGTAAACGTCTTTAATTTTAAAGCGCAGCTCTTAGGCGCCCGTTTCCGGCTTGAGCGGCGTCGCCGTCGCCGTCGGCGTAACGGCGCGGTGCATTATGGGTAAATTCCCCGCTAAATCTAGCGGAAAAATTTCTTCGCTAAATCTAGCGGAAAAAAAGTGAAAGCCGTTTACAACTCCCTGTAACGCCGAATTAGAGCGCAGCTCTTGAGGAGGAGGAGGGAAGGGTACTGGGGGGGGTCAAGTGACCTTGGGTGGGGGTCACGTGACCTAGGGGGGTCACGTGACGATGACGATGCCGATGACGTCATCAGTCACGTGACGATGCGGATACCGATGACGTCATCAGCGATGACGACAATGACGATGCGGATGCCGGTGACGTCATCAGTGATGATGACGATGACAATGCGGATGCCGGTGACGTCATCAGTGACGTCATCAGTGACGTCATCAGCGATGATGACGATGCAGATGCCGGTGACGTCATCAGTGACGTCACTGATGACGTCATCAGCGATGATGACGATGACAATGCGGATGCCGGTGACGTCATCAGTGATGATGACGATGACGATGCGGATGCCGGTGACGTCATCAGTGATGATGACAATGACGATGCGGATGCCGGTGACGTCATCAGTGATGATGACGATGACGATGCGGATGCCGGTGACGTTATCAGTGACGTCACTGATGACGTCATCGGGGTCACGTGACCCCGGGGGTCACGTGACTTGGGGAGCCACGTGACTTTGGGTGTCACGTGACCTTGGGGGTCACGTGACCCTGGGGAAGGTGTCACGTGACCTTGGGGAGTCACGTGACCCCCGATGACCCTTTGGGAGGGGTCACGTGACCTTGGGGTGCCCTTGGGATGACCTTGGGGGTCAAGTGACCTTGGGATGACCTTGGTTACGCCGACGCCGACGGCGACGGCGACGCCGACGCCGCTCAAGCCGGGAACGGGCCCCTAAGAGCTGCGCTCTAAAAGCTCCCCGCTAATTCTAGCGGGAAAACTTCACCGCTAAATCTAGTGGGAAAATTTCCCCGCTAAATTTAGCGGAAAACTTTCCGCGCTAAATATAGCGGAGAAATTCCTCCGCTAAATCTAGCGGAAAAGTTTCCCCGCTAAATCTGACGGAAAAATTTCCCCGCTGAATCTAGCAGAAAAATTTCTCCGCTAAATTTAGCGGAAAAGTTTCCCCGCTAAATCGAGCGGAACAATTTCCCCGCTAAATCTAGCGGCAAAATTTTCTTGCTATATTTAGCGGAAAAATTTCCCCGCTAAATCTAGCGGGAAAATTTCCCCGCTATATCTAGCGGAAAAATTTACCCGCTAAATCAAGCGGGAAAATTTCCGAGTTAAATCTAGCAAAAAATGTTTCTGGGGGGTCACGTGACCCCCGCCAAGGTCACTTGACCCCCACGTCACGTGACCCCCTCCCCAAGGTCACGTGACCTCGGGGGGGAGCAGGGGGGTCACGTGACCACACCCCCATGTCACGTGCTCCCCCCCCCCCCCCCCGAGAACCCGTAACCCTCAGTACCCTTCCCTGCTCCTCCCCAAGAGCTGCGCTCTAATTCGGCGTTACAGGGAGTTGTAAACGGCTTTCATTTTTTTACTCTATTAGAAATATACGTGACGCTGTAGCCAAATACTGATTGGGTAGTTCTGACACTATAAAAAATCCCCTGGCAAAAACTTAGAAATAGTTGGGTGGTGTTACTGTCCCTTTAATGGAATTAATGCAAGGTTGCAAGCGAGCTGGACAAGAATAACGATAATATTCTGCGGAGGAGGGGAACAAATGACAAACACGTATAAATCCCCAAATCTTGGATATATGTGTTTGCCGTTTGTCCCCTGCCTCCGCCCGTTAGAACAGGTTGGCATGGTGGGATCGAATTTTCGGAAGTGACGCAGGGGACGAAAAGAAACGTTTACGACAATGGCGTCGTCTCAAGAACGGAAGAATGCGGATTCGATTCCCCCGAGTAAATATTCCGTTTTTTTTTTTTTTTTTTTTTTTGTGCAAACATCCACGGTCATTTACGAAATATACGCCTTCACGAATAACGAAGAATTACCGCAGCGTACATGAGATTTGAGTTT